ATATAAATAAATAGTTTTGTTATATCTTGAAAATATATTCAATATGTAGCGTTTTTAATGTTCACCATCAATGAAAGAAAAATAGAAATCTTAAAGCGTTGCATAGCAACAACCAGAACTGTGTGCCGTTAAAGGTTTTCATTTTTTGCTCTTTCAACGCTTCACCACGGAAATGGGTGAACATTATGCATTGGCAGCAACAGAAATGAAAGCAAAGCAAACTCAAACATACATTTCACAGCGCCAATGTCAATAACCAGCTCTGTGTGTCCTTTGCTCCTCTATGTGCCCAGTCTGTGACGTGGGTACCGTTCCTGAATAGTTTGCATCCTTGTGTATTCGATCGCATTGAGCTAAATAAACGCCTTCATCGAGTCCTCGAGCGATGCAATGACGTGCTTCAACTGACACTTTGTTGTTGTTAAAGGATGTATCGAAGTGAGGGAAAATACTAGAAATTATTGATGCAAATGTTGATAAGTAGCTAATGGGTTTTCCTTCGAAATAAATTTGTTGAATTCAAGGAAAACTCTCTTATGACGTCTACATCATCTGGGCCTTTCATTATTTTGTAAGTAATACACAATCTCTTATAAACAATATACAATCTGCTCTCAATGCGAGCACCAGCTGCTTCTCGACTATTCCAAAACTCGGCTGGAAAGCAATTGCCCGAAGGAGTTGCTGCTCTGTTAATTAAGTATAGCCTAACCAAATGAAACGAATGTTCATGAGAAAAAGACGGCCTCAAACAGAGCGTAGTGCGAGGCGGATGGGAAGGTGGCCAAACTATTTTCGCACGAGCAAAAAAGAGTCTAGTTAATTTCCTAGTGCATGACTTTTGCTTAATTTGTGGCACAGTCGCGAGGCGGCCGAAATCAAAGAACTTTGTCCATGTTGCGCATACGCCGCGTGTGCGCACATGGAAATTATGCGGCCGCACTGTTTGTCGGCTATCCAAAAAGCGCAGTTGGCCTTGGCTAACACACACGACAACAGCAACAACAACAGCAGCAACTATAAATTGTAGTTGTTGTCCAACTTGTTGTTGCTGCCACTGTGCTCAGTTGTTAATTCTGCTAGCGTACGTGTCTGTATGTTTGTAAGACACATTTGCCTGGATGTGGGTGCACGTCGCTCCATCTCCCTCTCGCCCTCTCTTCCTCTTCCCTTTCTCTCTCTCTCTCTCACTGTGTGCCATTTGGCAATAATTGTGGTGCTATTGTTCGGGCGGCCGCCACGCTGTGTGTGTGGCTTTGCTGCGGGGCAATCGCTCAAAACTTATGACAACCCAAACAGCTACTGTTCGTTTCTGTGGCTGCGGCATTGATGTATCTGTATCTGCAATCGTATCGCTATCTGTATCTGTTGCTGTATATGTATCTGTATCTCGCTATTGAACTTTCGAATGGCAAGTGTGCGGTCGCTCTTTTGTGTGGAGCTTCAAGTCTGCGGCCTTTGTCGGCAGCCGCTTATTAATATTTACACTTTCATTGCGCTGCCCCACTTTGCCCCCACCTATGCCCCTTCGTCGAATTGATTGCGGCCCATGTGCGCGCTTTTCAATTCACATTATTTGTCGAAATAAATAAATCGAAGCGAATACCTCAGCTCTAACTTGTTACATATTTTGCGAACGTTCTACTTATATAAATATACATGCGTATATAACATTTTTCTGGCATTTTGTGTGTGTGTGTTTTTTTGTTGTTGCCTTACCGTGGGAGAAGGGAGGTGGCTCAACAATTTGACTAGCTGTAGAGTATCTAGTTCAAGTTGGGAATTCATTTGCAAACGAAGCATGCAGCCATAGAAAAGGAGAAAAAGAGGAATTAACTTGAGTGATGGCTCGCAGAAAGCTCTGGAATTTAATTTTTTTGTTCTCCGTTTCGGCATACTTTAAAGTGAAGCAGCTGTACGGCATAGTAATTGGATTCCGCTCAAGAATGTTTTTTATTTAATGTGAATAAGTAAAATTCTAATAGGGATAACGTCCAGTTTTATATATAATTTATAAAGTATATATAAGTAATGTAAAAACAATATTATATACACAAACATAATAAGTAGCACTCAATAAAAAATTACCAAGAGTCAAATAGAAGCTGATATAGTAAATCTATAATATATTAAATAATACTTATATATTGAATTCGTACCAATAAAACTCAATTGTAAATGTCTAAATTAAGTAATGTATAGTTATTAAACTCTAGAAAAGTACATGCTAATACCAATTACAGTTAAACATAGAAGTGTATTTTTATCTATTCAAAATAATAAACGATGGATATACATATATGTCAATAGTTAAACTATAATTGAATATAAGGCAAATGAAATAATTATAGCAGTATAAATTAATAAAATTAGAAATTAGAAAAGTAAATTAAAAGATAATTTGTATATTTAAGCGCTTAAAAGAAATTATAAAGTTAATTAAGAATATTCTTTAAAATTCCGGTAGCTCTTCGAAAGAGATCTCAGAAATAATACAAACGCTTCTAATATATATAATAACGACAAGATTATAATGGATAAGCGACTGCCGGGACATAAGGGGAAACGCTTAAGGCACTACAAAGTGCCAGTCGTCATATGCTATTCACGATGCTCAGTATATAAAATGGCTCATTAAAAGCATATAGATGTGCCCTAAATGCAACACTAATGATACCCAAAATGTTTCCAATAAACTCCACTGAAAAATTACCACTAACGCCCATATGTCAGCTTAAACGAAAGCCCCTTTGGGCCGGAGTTCAAGCAACAGCTGTTAGGGCCCAAAAACAAGAAAACTAAATTAAAACTCAACCGCAACTGTTTACACAGCAAATGTTACCACAAAAGGGCGGCACGTTAAAGCCGCCGCCGCCGCTGCCTCTACCGTTGCCTCTACCGCTGGCTCAGTCGGTCTCCCAGATGAAATCCCAGAGAGAGATGATTAATTGGGGCGGCTTCTGCGCGAGACAGTTACCGGTCAGCTGGGAGCCGCGGTCGTCGATCGAGGTGAGAAGAGTAATATGTACAAATATATCACTCCTCCACGGAGCAGCGCTTAAAAACGAATTAATAACGTGTGAGCCGAATACGCCCACAGGCCGGACAGTTGGCCAAGAAGGGCCGATATTGACCAGCTCGCAGCTCGAACTGGCCAATCCAGTCGATCTGGGCGGGCACGCGCATGACGCGGCAAAGGATAACGGCGGCCAAAGGATGTGAGCGCCCGACTTTCAGCGAGGCACAACAAAGGATGCCCATTATGTGCATGATCTGTGGTTTTTTATGCTCTTCTTCTTGCCGTTGTGCGCTGCCCGACTGCGGCGCTTTGTCGGCAAGTCGACAAAGCCGGCGAAGTCGAGAAGTCGAGGCTGGCAGGACACACACGCCGTTTGCCAACGCCGGCGGCGGTGGCGGTGGCGGTGGCGGTGGCGTTGAAGTGTGAATTCTAACAGTCCGCAACGACTCTCAACTCTCTCTCTATGGACTCTGCACTCATCTGGCCGATCGTAAATAAAGAAACATTTGAGCTCTGCCCTAAAGATTCACGCGCTGAAATGTGGCGGATTCTTTGAAAAAATTATGATCAACATTAATTGCTCTTGGGCTGTTTTTTTCGTTCCCTCTCTGTCCCTCTCTCTCGCGCTCTGTCTTTTGTGTTTGTTCTTTCTTGAGAGTGTGTAGCGCCCACGTTTAACGCATTCCTGCTAATTCCTGGCCATGATAGACATCGCTGATCCTTGATTAGCACTCCCCGATAGCTAATAGCTGGGGGCGTGGCAACTCCTTTCTGCGCCAATTGCTTTACGTTTCCATTCCTCCCGCTCTGGCGTCAAGCCATAAAATTCGTTTAGCACCTGCCGACGAGGCGAGCACAAGGTGTGATGTCAATGATTATAATTATAACGCCTGCACCTAGTATTAGCTAATGAAAGGGTTCCCGCCCGACACCAGACCAAATCAATCTG